GTGGTGAGATTTGGGTGGAAGAATGAAGAACAATAAGGAGAGTGTTTTGTGGGGGGGGGGTGGGCCTTAACGAAGGAGGAGTAGAGCCTGAAATGCGAATAGAGTTTATCATTCCAATTCGCTGTCTAATTTTCAAAATACCTTTATTAATTAATATACCAAAGCCAAGTTTTGGAGATATCCAGTATCCTAGATATTTAAACTCATTAACCCATCGTATTTTATTAGAACCCGCACATATTTCAAATTTCGGTGGTCCGATTGCTCCCGCCGACCAAAGGCCTTCCATCTTAGAGTAGTTGATGTGGTTAACAGTTAATGTCGAGTAGAATTGTAAGTTTTCAAGAATAACTGAAGCTTCTTTTCTAAATCAAGACATTGAGCGGAGTACTTCATTCCGATGCTACCGGCGAGAATCGCTGCCAGATTGTAGGCAAAAAAATGAATAAGACAAGGACCAAGAAAATCACCCATGTCAGCGTGATATGTAATGAATAAAGTGGGTGAGAAGATGGATCCTTGAGGACAACCTTTCAAGATATTGAACCAACGAGACTTTTTACCAGCCATTTTGATATACGCTCTGCGTCCTTGTAACCAGGTATCTATCCAACGTAAATAAGCTTTTGGTAAACCCATACGCTTTAACTTTCCTAGGCAGCCTTCGAACCAAAGCTGGTCGAAGGCTGCCTTGAAATCTAAAAATATAGTCGCAACAGGCGAACTATTTTGCCATTAAACTAGAGACTTGTTCAAAGAAGAGTAATACCCGAGTTTGCAGTCTGAATTCGGCACGAAATACAGATAATAATTATATCTGGTAAGATACCTCTATGTTTCACAACATCTAAAAATCGAGATAGGAAAAGTTTCTCGTTGATTTTAAGAAAGGCATCGAGAAGTGAGATTGGTCTGGTGAGAGAAGGATTACAGATGGATTCATTTTTTGCTAGAAGAAGAATTCGAGTATCTTTCCATTGCTTAGGGAAAATCGCATGAGAAAATGATAGATTGAAAATTTTTACAAAAAAGCGACCAGTATGATCGTGATAATGAGTTGAACACAAAATTTGAAAGGCCGTGTGCATCGCACGATTTCTTTTTCTTGCAATAGCGCACAATATCAAGTATTTCATCGACAGATGCAGATGAAATTTCCTTGTCATAGTTTTCCCACTCCACCTCTGGTGCATCTGTGTAAAGATGTGGGCGATAAATATTCTTGGGTTCTTTAAAAAAGTCTTCGTAGTAGTCCGCACCAATTTCACATATTTTTTCTGGATTTTTGATGACTTCACCGTTAGTGAGGATAAAACCATGAAGTGAAGACGATGTAGATTTCATGAACTTTTTTATTCTAGACCAGAAGAAAACGGAAAGAGGTGATGAACTGTTGTGTGCAGCTCAGGAAGCAGCAAGTTGATCGGACTTTCTCTAACTACTTCGTTGTATATTTTGACATAAGTTATTTTACTTATCATTATGACATGTTTTCAATAATGTTAAGCAAAGCTAAGACATTATTATATCAATTGAAATCGTTCTTTTATAAAGAATTTCTATGGTTTCTATTTGCCTGTTTCAATGGGTTATTTTGTGCAAGAATTTGTTATGATCTTGCTTTTATGAAAGTCAATTAAATGAACAGCTTAAAGTAGAATGATATATGAATGTGAATTTGAAGAATTCAATATATTCACAAAATTAATAATATTAATCAATCGATCGATCAATCGATGACTCTATTATTGATTAAGGATAAGTCTTATCTAAATGATAATCATATGAAAGGTTGTTATAGATAGTGTGGGCACCGTTTAAGGGAATCCAACGGTTTAAGGGATAATGTGGAAACCATGATGGAGGTACAAATGTAATAATTCGATTGGTTCATGTTTTCAAATAGGAATCATGACAGTGATTGATGATTCACTAGAAGTCGCTAAAATTCACTAACATTTTTTCCTTACTATTTTTTTTAAGGTGGGAAATCTATAACTTTTTTAAAGATTTTTAAAGAAATCTGACACGAGTTGTTGCATATAACTTTTCTGTTTGTGAGCTTTGGATGTGAGTGTAGACAATTAATTATTTATCACTAAAGTCAAAGTCATCGTTCATTTCAAGATTTTCATCGATTACAATTTTTATTTTGTGTAACAAAATAAAATGGCATTCTGTAATTTTTCCCTGTGTACAGCCACCGCCCCATTTCACATCCACACCCATGCCCTATTGTAAGACAGATTCTCAAAATAGTGTGCCATAACACTATCATACTTCTCTCCACTCAATCTCTTGATGAATCATAGGGTATATTAGAAATCAATTTTCTTGTTAATTTATTTTCTTGGTTCATAGAGATTCAATAATGAATTTATAGCTAAAAAAGATTTATATAAAATGTTTAATGAATCATCAATCATTTTCATGATTTCTATTTGAAAACATGAACCAATCGAATTTTTACATTAGTGCCTCCCTCATGGTTTCCATATTATCCCTTAAACGGTTGGATTCCCTTAAACGGTGCCCACAATCTCAGTATAATATTATTTCATAAATTGTCATTTCGAAAGCATTATCATCCGATGTAAACATGAATGTTTCAGATTGTGTCTCATCTATATATATATATACCCATCAGTTACTGATCATTATATGGTTTCGATTAGAATCTATGAATATCATGATCATTGGATATTATTGTATTGATAAATATACTCGAAAAAGTCATATCAACATTCACATATATATCCTTTATATGTGCGCCACCTTTCATTCTACTATACTTATGTAATAGAATAGATAAGCCAATGATTTCGTTTTTCTTTTCCTTCTCATTCATATAACCAATAAGGCGAGATGTATCGTTCGTTAGAAGTATCAATAAGACTAAGACAATATATTCCAAGCATTCCGATTTATTGAAAAAACGAATAAGACTGAATGATTTTACTTCTTGTCAAAATAAATTTATATTTCAAATACGATTTTACATATTATTTGAAGCTTTAAATGATAAAATGGATCAAGCTAAACAAAAATTCACTTTCAATCAGCCGACAGAAGAAGAAACAAAAACAAAAAAGTTACGACGTATGTTATTTGACTGGTAAATATATATAAATTTATTTATGTTTTTATTTTAATAGATGAAGATAATCAATCAATAACAACTATTGAAGATTTGCCGAATGAATTTTTCTTCGAGGCATTCGATTATCTCAATTTTTATCAAATATTTAAAGGATTTTCAAAGCTCAATCATCGTTTTGACGAACTTCTCTCTTCTTCATCTTTATTGTTGAAAGTTGAAATTAATTTACCAGAGCAGGACGAAATGTCAATGATCGATTATCGACGATTTATCAATATGAATAGACGTAAAATATTTTCGCTTAAGTTTTGGTTGCGTTAAGATAATGATAATTTTTTTTCATCATTTATTATCAATTCATCGTTGAACCAATTACAATCGCTGTTCGTTGATGGAATATCACCAGCTACACTTAATCATCTCGACAAACCTACAAACAGTGAAAATTTTATGGATTTCGGGCGTTGCCAACGTAACAAGGGCAGATTTCCCACGAATATATTCTATCTTATACTTCCACTCATTATGACACTCTTCACATCTATCAAGTAGAACAATTCTGTTTATCTCAATAACTCTTCTAAGACAAATAACATTAGGCCACCCTAATCACCTTCTATGATCCATCAGAATTGTATCTATTTATTTTTTTGTAAACAGAAAATTGTTGCTTATATATTTACGTACTTGTTTTGAATATAAATTATTGTTCGAATGGCAAAAAACGATGGATGCACACAGTGATTAAAAATATTGCCGTCACTCACTAACACTATCTACGAGAAAAAATGCATCGGCATCACAGCTCGGTGACACATCATTATTAACTTTTTCTTTCGACTAGCATTTTATCTATGTCTAACAGAACGCAAAAAAAAAGACATTTGCATTTTGTTCTTGGAGACATTAAATGGTGCACAAGAGAGGGAGTTCGAGATTTTTCTCCATGTCTGTACAGAACGAAACAAGGTCGGATAGAAAAAGGTAAATTTAATCTAACGGACGTCTTCTATAAAGTAGTGAAAAAAAATGTTTTTTTCTTTTTTAGTATATCATATGAGTAGAGAAAAAAAGGTAAAGATCAAATTTACATTTATCTTCCGTCTGTTGCTTTTAGTGAATCATATGTTGTGCATAGAAAAGTACCGTATTCATATACAATGTTCTTTTCTTTTTTACGAATTTCATGCATTGCGAAATTCAATAGTGATATTATCATTGTATTCGGTAAAGTATATGCAGATATTTCTCATGGGTAATTTTCAAGATAGATAGATGACTAAGTCGGTCATGAAAATAAGGATGAGATGCAAAGACTATTATCAACATGTGTTAAATGTCTCATAAAGCAAATTTGCTCCCACTTTATCAAATGAGGGTTGGACAACTTTTCGATCGGTGAGAAAAATGAAAAAATTAAGCGGAAATCAAACGCCCGGGTCAAAAATGGTCATTTACATCTGTGAAGAATAACACTTATGAACAACATTATAGATGCTTTTTCCTATGAGAAAAATGATTCAGAAAGATGGATAAATGATATTAGTTGTGGGGAAAATTCTTTTTATATACGACTTATATACATATTCTTCCAGCGGAAAGATGAAAATCCATCAGAATAATGCTTTTTCCTATGAGAAAAATGATTCAAAAAAATGGATAAATGAACTTTGATGTGGGAAAAATACTGTTATACATGAAAAGCATTTTTCATTCTCATTGATCATTTTTCTTGTAAGTGTATTGCATTTTTCCTCTATGATAAGACATTCTTCTGCTGAATTTTCAATTTTCCTTGTTCATGTATGTATATATGTACAGATACCGTTATCATGAAAACATTTTTCCTTCTCATCAATAATTTTTCTTATAAGCATAATAATAGCATTTTTCCTGTAGGATAAAACATTTTTCCTCTTGATTTTCATTTTTCCTTGTGCATGTATGTATATACGTATAGATACTGTTATTTGTGAGAACAATTCTATAAATACATATTACTCATATGCATACTCTGTCAGCGGAAGGATGAAAATCTGTAGGAATAATGTTTTTTTCTATGAGAAAAATCTTTTGGAAAAATGGATAAATGCTTTTAGCTATGAGAAAAATTCTTTTTATAGACTACTTATATACATATTTTTCCAGCGGAGAAATGAAAACCCATAGAAATTATACGTTTTCTTATGGGAAAAATGATTTAGAAAAATGGTTAAATGCTTATAGATGTGAGAAAAATCTTTTTTATGTGTGACTTACGTACATATTATTGCAGGGAAAAGATGAAAAACCATAGGAATAATGCTTGTTTCCATGAGAAAAAAGATTTGGAAAAATGGATAAATGAACTTCGATGTGGGAAAAATACTTCTATACATGAAAAGCATTTTTCCTTCTAATCGATCATTTTTCTTATAAGCATATAGCATCTTTCCCGTTGGATGAAATATTTCTCCGACGGATTTTCATTTTTCCTTGTGCATGTATGTACATATGTACAGATATCTTATAGAAAAAAATTTCCCTTGTTATCGATCATTTTTCATATAAGAATATAGCATATTTCCCGTTGGATAAAACATTTTTTCGCTAGATTTTCATTTGTCCTTGTTCATGTATGTATATGTGTATACAGTGAAACCTCTCTAAGATGAACACTAACGGGACTGTTCAAAACGTGTTCATTAAAGGAGGTGTTCATCTTAGAGAGGTGTCACGTTGAATGACGAACCATTCGTAAACTTTTTGATCGAGTTGTTGATTAAATTCATCTCGAAAGTTGCGTTTTTTTATTGAGTTTTCATTTTGTTCGTAACTTTCGATGTATTCTGCCTTGCGTTTAATAATATTTGACACACTACCAATCGAGATCTTGTAGCTCTCAGCAAGTGTACGATAAGAAGTGTTATCATATGTTATATGAAACTTTAAAATATTATTTATATGTAAGCATGAATTCGTTTTATGTTCTTTTATTTTATTTTTCTATTTTTATTTTTAGATGTTCTTATAGAGAATAATAATGT